CCTTGGCAGTCTCAGAGGTAGAGAGACCAGGTGTGGCTGAGATGAGGGAGGTATTGATCTCCCTCAGGTAGAGAGAGACCAGGTGTGGCTGAGATGAGGGAGGTATTGATCTCCCTCAGGTAGAGAGACCAGGTGTGGCTGAGATGAGGGAGGTATTGATCTCCCTCAGGTAGAGAGAGACCAGGTGTGGCTGAGATGAGGGAGGTATTGATCTCCCTCAGGTAGAGAGAGACCAGGTGTGGCTGAGATGAGGGAGGTATTGATCTCCCTCAGGTAGAGAGACCAGGTGTGGCTGAGATGAGGGAGGTATTGATCTCCCTCAGGTAGAGAGGACCAGGTGTGGCTGAGATGAGGGAGGTATTGATCTCCCCTCAGGTAGAGAGAGACCAGGTGTGGCTGAGATGAGGGAGGTATTGATCTCTCTCAGGTAGAGAGAGACCAGGTGTGGCTGAGATGAGGGAGGTATTGATCTCCCCTCAGGTAGAGAGGGACCAGGTGTGGCTGAGATGAGGGAGGTATTGATCTCCCCTCAGGTAGAGAGAGACCAGGTGTGGCTGAGATGAGGGAGGTATTGATCTCCCTCAGGTAGAGAGAGACCAGGTGTGGCTGAGATGAGGGAGGTATTGATCTCCCTCAGGTAGAGAGAGACCAGGTGTGGCTGAGATGAGGGAGGTATTGATCTCCCTCAGGTAGAGAGAGACCAGGTGTCTCATGTTGCTGCTGCTTGCCGGCCCCCCCCAGCTTCCACCCCAGCTTCCACCTGTAGGCTCGGGGGTTAGTTATTTAATCATCACTCATCGTGCTATGTATATCTGTGGAGTGATGAGGCCTGAGCCTAGACGCCAAACTCAACTATATGCTGCTTCTAATAAACATGTTAAAGAAACACGTGAGTTGTCTGACTGAAATGTTATTTATTTTAACATTTATGCTTTACTTACGCAACAGTCTACATAAGATAGCTGCACCATTATATAGGTCCAGTGGTACAGGCTGAGTGCTGCCAGGCTAAAGGAGATCTGTTCCCCATATGGCAGCTCCTGCGCTGATGGCCCCAGGAATTTGAAATTCAAATGGGACCAAATCCTGAGGGAGGAGCTCAGCTTTGGGGTGAGGGGCCAGCTGGAAATGAGAGAGGTGAGGATGGAGCGGGAAGGCTGTGGCCGCAAGAGAAGACACACAGAAGGCACAAAATGTCTTCTGCTGAGAGGGATACATATTGAAGCCTATCGTGATGACATGGCTGGAAATGTGTCATAACTCGCAAAAGCTGAGGAAAAATGATTTTCAATATTATATATTATATTAAATAATGGTTATATATATATTTTATTATTATTTATTTATTTTTAATTCACTTTTCAAACTTGTAGATGTATTCATATTAAAACACATAATACCAAAACTAAGTAAACAAAAAATATAATTATTTTCAAATTCTGCTTACTGCTACTATTTACATGTGTCTAGTTTGAGGTGTGCAATAACATTCTCTGACCACTTAAAGCACATTTGTCATATTCAAAGTACTTCAAGCCACATTTTGATTTATAAAATAAGAATTTAGGTTCTTAATGAATGTTGGCCTTGCCTTTTTGGACCTGAAGAAGAATTGATAAACTTGCATCAGATATAATATGTCAGGGGATGTGTGAAAATATATGTGATTAAATAGCATTCATCCATTGATTTGTTATATTTAATTATTTGAAGTAGACTGTAAGGAAGTTTTGGGTTAAGGGTTTAATATGCAGACGATTGCATGCCAGAAGCTTGTCTGTAAAGAATTGTGAATAACATGAACTAAGAGCTGTTTTTATTTTTGTTTAATTTCATAAACAACCATTGGCTTGTCAACCACATGTAGAAATATAATCATAGTCTTTAATTTAGCTTGACTACATGCTACGATGGTGAAGCAACTTTTTACATTTTTATTTGGACAAAATTGTATTAGAGAAGACCTTACAGGACAAGGAACAAAATAATGAAAGCTATTTTTTTGCGATTAAAAGCATGTCAATAAACTATAGTGTATGGCTGGACTTTCATGTGATCCTCATCTCTGAGTATGGCACTTATTGAAATTGAGACTGACAAAGATGATTTAGAGTGTAGTGGTGGCTTGGCAGATTTTCATTGAATCAACATTAACATCATGCCAGTAATGACAGACACGCTATGGCTTTCAGACCTGAAAGTGCAAACATCTCTACCAGACAAATATTTAAATTGCTACAGTATTATCTGGTCATATCTTATTGTAAAATAAAATCTACTGAATGCTACATTTCACTCAAAGTGCTCTTTTAAAGATGTATCATCCAAGAAGGGATGGATCCAGGATGTTAGAGCGATCCAGATCCAGTCAGATTCTCCAAAAGTTCACCATGCAGCACAACTGAACTGACACTACGCCCACTCATTCAGCAGGCGTTTTCCCAAAAAAATGTAAGCAAGGATATAACCCTCTGCGGAGTTAAATGTGGACAGTTTGGCTGCTGGGACTTTCCAGGAAGTGAAGTGAGCATTATATAACTTGCTTTTTTGTTCAAAAAGTGTGTTTGTCAATTTATTCTTGAGGGAATTGTTGCTAAAGGCACTACAAATCTGATGTTTAAGTGTTTTCACTCCAAATGAGCCATCAATTGTGCTATATCATTACAAGTCGAAGCTCTAAGCATGTACAATGATTATGTTGGATGATAAATATACTTTTGGATTGGAAGTGAAATGATAATGTTCTGTACATCCAGAGATAGAAGATGATTTCCTTACCTCCAAGACCTGGCCGTAGGCGGTTGTCATATCCATCCAGCAGGCTGTCCAGGATGCGCGTGAACAGGGTGATGTTGGTTTTAAAGGCATCGGATTGGGCATCGCAGCTCACTGACCTGGGTGCCGGAAAAACAACAAGAACATGAACAGACACTTCAACAAGCAAGAATTTGTTTGATTAAATGTTAAAGCTATTCAGAGTCATAACTCTGTGTTCCACAGAGGCCTGATTTATGGGGAATAAAAAGGGGTCGTTATTATCTGGCAGAGATTTCACACATGCCCACACAGACGCACACACATGCACATTGTTTCTCATCCACATGGATGACCCAGTTCAAGGCAGAACATTTGTGAGCCATCTGATCTTGAAGCCAAAACACAACTGAATATGCAAATGTAATCAGAGCTAGAGATTCATTGTAAATAAATTCAGATAAGGGCCTACATTAAAGCTTGACATATTCACCATTGCCAATAGCTCTAGTGATGTAACACACAGGTTTTGAGGCTTATTCAATTTAAGCAGGAATGTCTACAATAGTCATCATTTTACACATCTGGGTGATTTCTGTTATCATCTTTCTCTCATTAACATCTGAGAAAGTGTTAATGTAGCCTACTTCTTATGTGATAACCTAATAGAATAGGAATAATGTATTTCTTATCTTTTAGTACAGTATGTTAGCAACAGTAGGCTACTTTTCCACAGTTTAAATCTACTTGTTAGAACCGCTAGCCCACTTTAAAACTCTGCTAGCATATCCAATTCATAAATCATCAATCTGCATTAGCATGTGTAGAAAACAGAAGGTGGAGGATTTTATAGAGGAAACCTTTACATTTATCCCTGAAACTGTTCATTCATATATTTTCAATTCATTTGTATTCTTCAGTTTTAGCATTTGCTTGCTCACGTTAGCTGTCTGAGTAAGCCAGCTGATTTCAAGGTTTGCTTGGAAGTTAGCCTTCTAAGTTAGCTAAGAAATAGTCATGTTTGTCTCTAAAGAAGAACAATTTCAGCTCTTACAGTACATAACTATTAAAGATACTTGTATGCATTTTTGTGGAAGTTAACTAAGCTCTGTAATGTTGTGTTGTAGCTTCCTGTTTGATAAAATTGGAAACCTCACAATTTAAGACAATAACTTTTAGCAAAATGGCTTTGAAGCCACAAAAGCTAATATAAGAAAAGCACAACACTGTTATCATATTTATCCTGTTAACAAATAAAGTTTGGTTTGAGGTTTTCCTTGTCTTCCCATGTTCCACAGCAGACATTTTGTCTTAAATCGCACACGTACAGGTGTTACTAATTAATGATGCTCTACTCAGGTGTCCCAGATTGTGACATTGAGCCATCATTTTGGGCTATAATACACCAATGTATCCATTAATCTGATTCTGATATGATTCATTGTATTTTCTACACCTTTGCATTAACTGTAACATGTGAAAATGTCTGCCATGAAAAAGGCCTACAGCCTAGCATGGACAATTTGGCTGCCCCAGGCAAGGTTTCTTGAATCTAGTAGGCAACAGTAGTGGGGACACAGGCCTATTGAATAATGGATTATTTAAATTACCTGTCATGCTTGTGAAATTGACAGTTTTTCCCTTTTGTCAACTGTCCTCTAGTGAGCGCTCAAATTAACCAAACTGTCACTCCCAATGGGCTATCCACAGACACCTTTACACCTGAGGTGTCAATGTGAGATGTCCTCTGATAACACTGTGGGAGCTTGGCCACAGTCAAAATGAAAGCTATATCAGACTTAATAATTTAAACTAATTAGACCTTATAGTATACTGTATATTGTTGTATTGACCTATATTTTTCTTTTAATAAGCTACTATTTCGTATTCCCTTTGAGAAAAAGGCTACACAATTACAATGCAAGGTTTGCATTTGCAATTATCCCATATTAGAATGGGCCATTCAAATAACTGTTAAATAATCAAACTCAAGCTGCTCTTTGGAATGTGCAATATCAAATAACCTTGGAAACCAGTAGCCTATGGATTATAAATTGTATTATAGGCTAGATAATTACCCACATGCCCTACGGGTTATTTTTATGGTCAGACTGAGGATATGAAGGCGGTAAACTGCCTCTCCTGCCTCCTGCACATTGAGTGCCCACTGATAATGAGCCCTGCGTGATAATAACATTTAAAAAACTTGATAAATGGAGACCCCCAGTCCCCAGAGACTCAGTGGGTGAGTGATCCCCGGCATTCAGCTCGTGCACTATCATCGCTTCAAGGCGTCTCCCCCCATTCAAAGCACTCACCTGGTTTTCCAGAGAGCAGTGAGCGCCAGCAGGCAGAGGAGAAGTGGAGGAGCGCTCTCTCTGCTCCACATGGCTGCTTCAACACCTACACACAGTGGGGCAGCCGCTGCAAGGAATGGACGCACAAATTAACCGGCTTGACATGCAAGTTGATTTCTTTATATAACATGCAGACATAATATCCAACACTTATATCTGGGGATTCCCTTCAGCTCACAACAAAATAAGAGAAGAAGAAGCAGGCTGCAATTAGTATTCACTGACACGTCCCACGCCTCCACTCACTGAACATACCCAAAAAGATTGCAAAGAGAACGATCTGAAGAAGTATTTAGATGATTACAAATCATTACATGCAGAAAATAATCAATAATATGAGAGGAAATGTGGGATCAAGATCTTTTCCATAATACAAAATAAAGAAATAAACGTTTCCTTTGTGTCTGAGAGGGGGATTTACAAAAACATAAATAAAAAACACACTCACCTCAAGTGCAGAAAGTACCTGCTGCAGCTGGATTCGTCGAAGACGCAAGAAAGTTAAATCACCGCTCTCTCCTGTTTTGATGCGACTGAATGAGTTCAAGTGTGTCATGAGAACAAAGCTGCGAGCATTGATAAATCATAGTCCCAGCCAGCAGCAGGAATGCACCCGAAATGCACAGGCTTTCATAGTGTCCCCCCTCCCAAAACAAAAATGGGAAAAAATGATAACAATGAGGTGGTAGGAAATTAAATGTAAAACATAAATTAAAAAAAAGCAGCAGTTGCGGGAGATGATCCTGATGTTTTAAATTGCCCCTGTTTAGCTTCCCCCCTCAGCTGGTTAAAAAAAAAGCTCGATGTGAATCGTGATAAGCAAGAAGCACATCTCAGTCTCCCTCATCTCTCCACAGAAAAACTACAAAGGCTGAGGAGGAGACACGCTGGGTCCTAGAGACGGTTTGGTATGCATGCAGACCAGTGAGGATGTTAATGAATGTTGTTTCCATTCACAGCCAATGTATAGTGCCATATTGATTATGCAAAACAGCCAGGCTTTGTTGCATGGTTGCGATGGAAATTGCACCTTTGGAAATGGAGTCCGTGGGTTCAGCCATTTTGGTCTGTTTTGTGTGTCACCAACTGCTCATGTGCCTTGGGTTTCTTTTCATTTCAGGCTCAACAAAGGTCTGCTAATTAGACATGTGTACTTAAGGTGATGGAAAAGCTTTCAGGACAGCTATTGAACCACGGGACACTAAAACGCGCCACTGAGATTAATGATGGTTTTGTATCATTATCTGACTTACATATTCTTGGTTAACCTATTTGTGTAGCTGTGGTCAGTATACACTGCTATACTATCCAAATTGGCCAATATTGGTGTATACGTTGATTGGATTTGAAGGGGCCCTATTATGATAATGTTTAGGTTCATATTTGTATGTTGTGCCTCTACTGTGACATGTTTCCATGCTTTAATGTTCAAAAAGCTCTTTATTTTTCTCATACTGCCTGAGCTGCAGCACCAATTTTCTGCTCTGATTGGTTAGCACTCCGGCTCTGTTGTGATTGGTCGACAACTTAGAGATGTCCCTTAGCCTATCACGTACAGTATAATTTGTTGGAGAGCTAGCCAAAATAAGTTCAAGTGTTACATAGTGATGTCACTATGTCCAGAAGTTAAAATGGAAACTAGATGGAAAGGTTTCAGGCAAGGGGAAATTGGGGAGGAAAACAGTGATTGTAGCCTTTGTAGACGATGTACATGCACAAAAAGTCACTACAGGAAAGGGAACACCCCCAAAAGCTTATTAGGACCTCTTGAAGAAACTGCGGGTGAATAGGGTATCATATGTAACTGTTATCACTATGAAATATATGTTTTTGTTTTGCTGGCAAAATTTACATTACAGTTCGTAAATGAGGCAAATTACTTTTGGTGAAATTAGGAAAAATACTAAAGTGGGCAGGGTGTTTTCTTTTTATTATAGTCCAAATGAAATGCCAAAATACAAAGTTATGAGCTGTTGTTCTCGTTGTGTGTTTTATGTGTGTGTGAAACATAGAGAATGGATGGCCCTCTTGACACTCTGCTGTTGCTAGGACAGTTTTTGTTGTGGTATAAATTGTTATCCTTTTTCTAACAGTTATTGTAGTTGCAATGTTTACAGCATGTAGACTCATTTCTCGTGTGAGCCTCAAATCATAAACTGACAAATACCAAAAAAAAAACTTATTATATTTTAGATTAGTTTCCTTAGTGCTGCTTTTCCTTACAATTATATCACCGGCTTGAATGTAGAGCTTTGGGAGCTGTTCTTTCAGCACCACACGCTGCATGGCTTACATTGGATCATTGTAACATCATCTAACATGTAACTAGTTTTTCTGAAAACATTTCTAAATGCAACAGCAGTGTGGGATCCATTGGTTCATCCTAATATAATAATGTTTATATATATACACTTTCAATTAAATAGACCAACAAACAGAAAATCTACAAATTCCCAAAACATTCCTTTGATGTCATTCTGTGATATAAAAAAACGACATTGAACGGAAGATGTCTAATGAATTCTTGCAGAAAAGGTGTATATTTTTCAGGGGGGAAACAAATCTTTGACATTTGGAAAAAATGTAATGGATTGTTAACCCTTTCTTGACCAGATTACCAACTAGGCAAGGTGGTAGCAGGTCACTGCATATCACTCTGTTTTTGGTGATGTTGTGGGGTGCTTTGTGGAAATATGATAAAAAATACTTTTAGAGGCTATTCAAAGAGCTGCTGATCTGGTAATATCATTCATGTAAATTATGTTTGTACATATATGCACACCTTGGTGCAATTGTAGATTATTAGGAGTCAATCTCAATTCAACTTAAACAGATGAAATGTTATGTGGAAAAAAAGGTATAAATGTATTTGATGTGGATAAATTGTTTTGCAATCACATAAGTATTAATAGATAGATGAACTTCAAGACGAATTGCTACAAAACATCAGGGTAGGATTGTCTGTGAAATGGCAAGATGGGTGGGAAGGGGGAGGGACGGGGTGGCATGGGAAAGGGATTCCCTATATTTTTAATTTTATTTTTATTTTTGTATTATTGTCTATATTGTCTATATAATTTGTGTCTGTGTATAGAAGTCCATTTGTGAGGGCAAAAAAAACAATAAAAAGTTGGTCACAAAAAAAAAATACTTTCATCATTTTAGTTAATATTGTGTTCAGATGGTGCATATTTCAAAAGATGTGTGTAATAGGAGATGAGTGAAAGCCAGGCAGGCACTTTCTGCCCCAGATCTTAATAGGTTAATATGGCCATGAATTATTCAAGTTTATGAATCTACAGCTGTGTTAAATAAATAATTTATTTTTGAACCACCCAATGGTCACTTCAGTTGTTATATGTGTAGTATTTGCAAGTGTTACATCATAAACTAGCTTATTCTTAAAAGCAGAAACAAATATGTCAAGGATTTAGTTTAAAGTGTGTGGTTAATGGGTAAAACATATTACTATATTTTAAAATCATTCTTTTTTAATTACCTTTTCAATAATAAAATATGTTCTCATATATTTTTATTTCATATGTTCTTATCTTATATGTTTATTTGTTTTTTTTCCTTTTTCACCCTTTTTTGGGGGGTTTGTCCGTACATGGACTTTATCCTTTTTAATTTTTTGTGTACTTTATCCATACTATTTGTGTTATGCCAATGAAATAAAAAGAAAATCAAATAAATCATAATAACAATAATGATATTTTAAATGCACCCTGTTGTATAAAGTGTGCTATATAAATAAACGTAACTTTGCTTTAAATCATGTAACTGCTGCAGAGGCGGAGACAGGTTGGTCAAATGGACAAAAGAGCATTAAGGAGACCTGATTTAAGAGGCAGCAGAGAAACTGAGTAATCTCTTTCTCACACCCACACACACCCACACACACCCACCCACCCACACACACACACACACACACACACACACACACGCACGCACGCACGCGCACGCACTCACGCACGCGCGCACGCACGCAGGCACGCACACACACACACACACACACACACACACACACGGATCAAAACAGGCTGCTGGACCTCAGGGGTCGGTCCATTATCAAGCAGCCGCTGCCTTCCTTTGCTATACTTCAGACAGGCTGCCCCATTGATCTCGGCTTTAATCTATACCTGTGACAGGTGATCGATGAGCCAGGTCATCTCAATAACGCTGACCCCTGGGCCATCAAGTCCAACAAAGCAGGTAGGAAGCAGCCTGCAGGCGGAAAAGCAAGGGCATCGAGGACAAAATCTACCCTCCTTTATTCTGTAAATCTGTGTGTGCACGTTTAGTTTCCCGCTAAACTCGGGTTAAACTCGGGCTGTTAGCCTCCGAGTTACACACTCTTACAGCACAATGCTTATTGCAAGATGTTGCATCAGACTCCACTGCCAGGCCTGAGTGTGTCCCAGTTGGGCACAATGAGTGACAATGCATATTGATCAGGTCCATGTGGAGGTAGGTATAATTCAAGGTTGAAAGGTAGCGTTAATATTTAATTAAAATGACAAATGTAAGCCCTTTATCACTGTCACTCCTGGTTTAGTATCATGTAGAAGTCACGTGTGGAAGGGAAACATGTTAAACTCGTGTTAAGACTGTAAATGTTACAATAATGTGATTCATGTCACTTTCAAGGATAGTGCAGTCTAAATACGCAAAGTAATTCTCCAATTGTATGGCAATTCCAATCTGGCGTTATGTTTACCACATTACCTGCAAGAGGCGAGAAATACCAAAGGAGCAATACAAATGTAGATTCAGACAAGCAGGAATTGACAGATGTGCTTTCATTCAGTGGGGGTGCAGCTCAATAAGGATCTGGTCGATAAAAAAAAAAAAGCTAACAGGAAAGTGTGCTGCTGCTGCTTCAGCGGCGCTGATTGAATTATTTTCCTTGTCAGAATAAATATGAAATATGTGCATCTAACTATAGCCCGAGCAAAAAATGCTTTGCTTGTTATAGAATGAAATACATCAGAATAAAAATGCTTGACAGACATGTGGGGTGATATGAGTCACATGGATGCATAAATAGCAATGCAAACACACAAATAGACACACACGCACGCACACACACACACACACACACACACACACACACACACACACACACGCACACACACACACACACACACACACACACACACACACACACACACACACACACACACACACACACACACACACACACACACAAACACACACACACAGTGTCCTCTGCTGGAGAAACACGGAAACGGTCTCCTTGTAGATTTGGAAACAGATGACAGTGTCAGCAAACAAAGACACTCAAAGTGTCTTCTCAGATTTCTCTGAGAAGATACTTGCTCCTGATATAAGAGTGCAGCACCAGCTGTCTGGTGTTGACTCCACTGACATTTTGGGGAGAAAATAATACCTGATCCAGTCATGCAGCTTGCTGTTGTCAGTTGCATGTGAGTTGATTCACCAGGCA